CAGCGGAGAGACAGCCAGGAGAGACAGCCAGGGGAGAGAGAGAGAGAGGGAGGAGAGACAGTCAGGAGAGAGAGCAAGGAGAGACAACCAGGGAAGAGAGACTGCCAGGAGAGAGAGGGAGGAGAGACAGCCAGGGGAGGGAGAGGAGAGACCGCAAGGAGAGACAGCCAGAAGAGAGCAAGAAGAGAAAGCCAGGGAAGAGAGACTTCCAGGAGAGAGAGGGAGGAGAGACCGCCAGAAGAGAGAGCAAGAAGAGAAAGCCAGGGAAGAGAGACTTCCAGGAGAGAGAGGGAGGAGAGACCGCCAGAAGAGAGACTGCCAGAAGAGAGACTGCCAGGAGAGACAGCCAGAAGAGAAAGCGAGGGAAGACAGCCAGCGGAGAGAGAGGAGAGACTGCCAGAAGAGAGAGCGAGGGAAGACAGCCAGCGGAGAGAGAGGAGAGACGGCCAGGTGCGAGAGTGAGAAGAGATAGCGAGCAACACATCTGCTTGAAGCAGAACCTCTGTGCCCATCAAGACTTATCTGCACCCTGTGTTTCAGATACCTCCTTGCTCCCCACGTTTTAGCTTCCCTCCATGTTTCGTGCCTCCTCCATGCACTCAAGTTGAAATATCAAGACCCCATGGTTGCCCCTGTCCACCTGACATTGTGACCTGAGCTGGCCTGAAACCCGGACCAGGTACATCCAAGGTCTAAAACCCAGACAGGTGGCAACCCTCGTGGGGAAGGGGAGCGACCCCGTGATGTAACTAGGGATGCACTGATACCGGTTGTTCAGTATAGAGTACGGGGACTGATATTTTCTTTTCAGTACTCCGATACCGAATACTGATACCGGAAGTCCCGTTAAGGAAGCCAGGTGGCATGTAATGACTCACCACCCAGCTTCCTGATTAGCCAGGAAGCCGTCTCCATGCTGCCACCAGGTGATGATGGAGCATGGAGCTGGCTTCCCGACCAATCAGGAAGCCGGGCAGCACATAATGACTCGCTGCCTGGCTTCCTGATTGGCCGGAAGCTTAAGTATCGGGCCAGGCATCGGAGCATTTGGGCCAGTAATGTTACCCGGTGGAGGGGTCGATGGGGTGCTGGTGGTGCACTCTAATGGCACTCTGGCTGGTGTCCTGGTGGTGCACCGCCCAGCTCTGACCAGCATCTCTCCCAGCTTACTGACATTACTGGTTGCCAGGAGCTGGGCAGGGCGCCAGCCAGGGCATGCTCACTCCGCTCCTGGCAACCAGTTACATCAATTGTTGCCAGGTGCTGGGTGGGACCCTGGCCTGAGCACCCCAGGTTGATAACAGCTGGGAGGGAAGATGTGTACGCCTCTTACACATCTCCCCATCTGATTCTTAGCAACCTGGGACACACTGTCCAGAAAGAGGGCGGCAGGCAGAGCCAAGTGATCCAAAGAGATGACGCCTGAGGCAACAGTCTCAGGCTGCCTGATTATAGGGACGGCCCTATTGGCAGCATCTCAGAGGCTCCTGGTAACTTTACACATTACAGCAGCATTTTTCAGCCTTTTCAAAATGGAGTAACTCTTGAAATAATTATCTGGTCACGGAGGACCCTTGCTAATAATTATTATGCCTACAGCTCAGGGTACATGGTCAGTGGGAAGAATGCTTCAGCATTTGTGGTCAATATTAAAAAGATTATTATTATTTCATTGGTTACTTCTCTGAAAGGCAGAAATTACAAATTGCTCATGGAACCCCTAGAAACTTCTGGAGGAACCCGAGCATTCAATGAAACTCTGGTCAAGGAAGGCTGCATTACAGTCTGGAGGACATCATCCAACCAGGAAGACTGAGGATGTCTTGTGGAGGAAAAGAGGTACTGCGGGTGGTGGAGGTGGAACGTGCCGCCAGATCTGCATTTTAGGTTTTTAAAACTGCCGGGTCTCCAAATTCTTTAACAAAATGCCCAAAGTTGGGCTTTAAACATATTTGCTTTAAGGTCATCCAACAATATCCCATACACGTTTCTTGGATCAGCCTCCCCTTCTTCAGAGGAAAGTTGGAAATCGAGTTTTGTTTTCTCTTCACTGAAGGTCCAATAGAGAATTGTATGTCCACATTGACATTCTCTCGTTCACACCTAGGCGTATTGCATATGCGCGTCTGTCGCGTGACCGTCGCACGTTTTTTTTACCGCGATCCGCGGTAAAAAAGTTGTGCGACCGTCACGCGTTTCCGAAGGCTACTTGGCTGTAGCCCAATGGAAACGCGCAACAAAACGGCCCAAAGTAGTACATGTACCTTATCAGGCGTGGGCCGTTTTGTAGCGCATTAGGGACGGGCGGAAATATGCCAAGGTGGGAACGAGACCATTGAATTCAATGGGATTTATATTTTTGAGTGTTTTGTAGAGCGTTCGTCAAGCGTAGAACGCGCTACAAAATGTTCAGGTGTGAACGAGGGCTAACACCTATCATTGGGTAAGTGTGTTGTGGTGGAAGGAGGTCTAGAGCAGGGGTAGACAACCTCGGCACTCCAGCTGTTGTGGAACTACAAACCCCACGATGCATTGCAAGACTCTGGCAGCCACAGACATGACTCCGAGTGGCAGAGGAATGCTGGGATTTGTAATGTCAGCACAGCCGGAGCGCCAAGGTTGTCTAACCCTAGGGTTGCCACCTGTCCAGGATTCACCCGGACAGTCCGGGTTTTGAATGCTGTGTTCGGGTTTCATGGCAATCAGAAACCTGGAAACAAGATGTCAAGCAGACAGGGAGAACAAAAATTAAGATAAGGGCTACTGGCCCCCGACTAAAAATAGTCTTAACTGTGATATTTACATATGAATGGGCGGCGCTATGTACATATGAATAAGCTATGACTTATTCTCCCCCAAAAATGTCTGCGCGTAGCTAAAGTGTTCAGGTTTCGCTTGAAAAAAAGGTGGCAACCCTATCTAACCCTGGTCTGGACCATCCAGAGGAATCCAAAGGTCTTCAACACAACAGGACCAGAACATTGCAGCCAGGACAATAATTATTGGTGAGGTCCTGCAGCATAACCATTCAGGGGTTCTCATGCCTCTCTGCTCTCTACCTCAAAGGCAATTCCCCCTGTGTACAAAATACTAACTGCTTTCACAGCAATGAAACAGAGCTTACCATACCATGTATGCATCAGTTCTATCCAAATGTAGCAGCCAATTGTAATTGCTACCTGTATAATTATTCATCAGCCAGACAGATCTGGGCCCCATAGCGGTTGCATGGTCTGCTATGACTATATTTACAACCGTGACTGCAGCATTGCCACTGACACTTGTGACTCCTATGCTTCTACAGCATGGGCTATGCAACCTCGGCATGCCACCTACGGTGCGACTACAAATCCCATGAGGCATTGCATGACTCCCAGAGGCAGAGGTATGATGGGTTTGTAGTTTCGTCGAGGATGCCCATCCCTGTTTTAATGCAACTCTCTGTAGTATCATACCCTATAGAGTTAAATCAGCTGCCCCCAAGCTTCTTCACACAGCTCCAGGCGCAGTAAGAACAGGCCCTTCATGCTGTATAGGGCAACACGCCCCATGTGAATGAGACCTAATGGCTCATGCATATGGCCATATGCATGTGTGCTTGGTTTTTCTGGCATCAAGATTGTGCGTCATAATTGCTCTGTAGACGTAACATTTTTGCAACATTTACACACAGAAAGCGTATAGCACAAAGGTGCCGTTGGGTTTCATTGGGGTGACATCCGCGCGGCAATCACAGAAAAAAGGTACATGTATTAGCCGCGCGGCAATCACAGAAAAAAGGTACATGTATTAGCCGCGCGGCAATCGCAGAAAAAAGGTACATGAATTAGCAGCTGTTTTAGCCGCATGATCCGCCCGGCGCAACTGGGGTGCCATTAGAAAAAAATGGCACCCACAGCGCAATCGTCTGTGATGGGCGACGCCGTGACGGCGTGGCAATCCGCACTGTATTGTGCATGATTACTGCGCTGTCACAGATCGCCTAGGTGTGCAACGGCCTCCACCATGTGTTGTGGAGAGATAGCTCATTCTACGTTCACACCTAGGCGATTTGTCACGCAATATCGCGCAAAACACAGCATTGAAGTCAACGGGGCCTGTTTACACCTTTGTGGTTTGTCGCGCGGACGAAATCGCCTATCCAGCAAAAAAGGTGCAGGAGCTATTTTTGGGCGGTTGGGGTCCCATAGACATCGCTATACATCTAAAACCGCACGATTTTACAAGCACAGTTGTGCAAACGAAAACACGCGATAACCACGCGAAACCAGCTCTATGGCCTGCGTGTGAACCTAGCCTTATTCAAACGTAAAGACTACTGCAACGCAATCGCACATGCGATGTCGCATTGCAGATCCATGAATGGTGGCTTAGACCCAGTTCACCCCATAGCGTCGCAGTGACCCACATTCCAGGGCGTTTGTTAGCCATATTTGCCGGCACGCCCCCATCGATTTCCTGTGACAAACGTAGGGATGTAGCAAATTCTGCAACACACATTGCGCATTTTTTCCCATGTGCATTTTAACACGTGTTCACATGCGGGGGGAAAAAAGCACATTTCCTCGGCCACATGTAATGGCACCGCAAGCGCGTTGCACGTTTTTTTACTCATTCTGTGCACGCGCGTCACAGCACATGCATGGCTTGCAGTTTGGCACGCATTCATGGAATGCTTTGGTGTGAACTCACTGCAACGGGGTGCCATTCAAAATAGAACAATGCGCTGCAGCATGCATTCACACTACACACACTTCACATGCACAATAACACACATGACGTGAACAAGTCCTAAAAATGACACAGCACAAATGTTGCTACATTTTAGATCTTTTTCCCCAGAACAACCATTAGATTCCACCACCTGATTTCCTCCATCCACCTGTGATTCAACTCTATCTAAGTGGATCAAACCACTTGGGGCCGGGGAGGGGGGGGGGAGAAAAAAAAAGTTAAAGAAAAAAGTGGAAAGGAAAAAGAGAAGATAGAGAAGAAGAGGAATGGAGGAGGAAGGAGTGCCTGGGAAAGAGGAGGACAAATCCTGTCCACTGGGTAATGAATTAAATGTCTAATTATCTGCTTCATTACCAGCAATAACCTGACTCTGCTGGGAGATGAGGTCATTGGAGGGATAAGGAGTAATAAAATGCTATTAATTTAATAATAACCCAATGAGGGATAGCTCATCAAAGCTTAGCAGGTTCCCTCATTAATCCCAATGATGTGCAATGCCCTTTATTAGTAGTAGTGTGTGCTGAGCCTGGGATAGGGGGAAGGGAGGGGGTTGTAAAAATTGGCAATATCTGGGATCCTCTTGTGGCATTAATTGTTACAAAATGTAATTAGGGGAAATTGATTGCAAATAACTTTTTTTTTTTTTTGCTGCACCTTTTAAGGGCTCGTTCACAGCGCACCAGCGCACCTCAATGCATTGTTAAATGAGAGGTATGTGGACCTCTATCTAGTACAATGAGCAGCCTGTGATCCAAACTATACTATAGTGCTGCCGGAACCATCAAGATGTCCATTTAAAAAAAATAAAAATAAATTGGCTTCCAGTGTCTGTGGAATCGTCAGCGCTGCAGCACGTTGCGAGGTGTTGCTGTGCACCGGACATATAGTTTCATAGGTGAGGTTGAATAAGGACACAGGCCCATCAGGTTCATCCTATGTGTGTGTATGGTATGTAGGTTGAACCTGATGGGCCTGGGTCCAAATGTCCTTTTTTGTCAGTGCACAACCATTCAGCGCGTTCATGTAAGCTAAAGCCATGACGCATAAGACATGAGGCTTTCCCACCATCCCTGTGCTGAGTTCCCGGGTCTGTACACCTGTTGTGCCCATTATGCGGGGCTCCCACCATCCCTGTTCTGATTTCCTAGCTGGAACCTACAAAAATAATTGGACTCTTTCATGACAATGTCTTGTTTGTGTTAATGCAGCTCTGCGATCAATAATAAATGATTATATGTATTTATTTAAAAGCAAGCACCTGGATGGGACCCGGTACCAGCCTCTTACAGTCCCTGTACAGCAGAGCTCAGACTGGGGGAGGGAGAAGGCGCACAAGGAGCCAGTCATTACCCTGTATTGATTTCCTTATGGGGACAATGCAGTGTGTGTTGGTAGAGATGTTTGTTGTGTCCATCAGGGATGTCAATGCAGAAGCACATTTGAGAGACGAGAGGACAGGGTGTTGTCACCTCCTAACAGGTAGAGCCTTATCAACGATCTCCGTGGCAGGATCACCAGATATCAGTTCAACAGAAGTTGTAGCTGTTAACCCTTTACCTGCCAGCACCATATCCCTTACGCCCCTGGCAGCGGGCCCCTGTACACAGGCTCCCGGCAACTCTGTTGATCTGTGTAAAGCCGACTGTTGGATTTACACTGGAAGCAATTCTGGCAGCTGATCGCTGCACCCCCAGCATCACAGGTGTCGGCGGGAAGGCCAATGAACATCCGTTTGCCAATTTCCTCCCTGCTGAATGGAGCTGGAAGCGACACCGATTGCATCACTTACTGCTTCTCAGCTGTCATTCCCAGGGGCGAAAAGGGGCCGTTTGTCACCCCTGCCGTGACGTCACCATCTTATTGACACCTGCCGGTGGCCCTCTTGGTGATGGACGTTGGCAGAGAGAGGAGGGGACATTCACGCGGCAGGATAAGGTATGCCGCCGGGTCCCCTCCTCTCTCCTGACACTGTCGGGCTCTCAGTCCATGACCAAGTGCCTGGCTTTTCAGAGGGGGTGACACCAAAATGACTGTCAGCCATTTTGGTGTCACCCCTCTAATGGTGTCACCCGGGTGCGGGCCGCACCCCCTAGTGACTCCACTGGTCATTCCCCGTCCAGAGAAGCCGGGGAAGAAGCTATTAAAGCACAATGTGTTTGAATTGGAAAGGGGTCTAATAGACCCCTAATGTTACCTGAACTTGCCACCACTATTACTTGTGAGCCCCCCCCACCCCACTATTACTTGTGACAGCAATGAAGTTAAGTAAAAATAAAGATTTTAAAACCATAAAGTTAAATAAAATAAATGGAAAAAATACAAAAAGAAAACATTTTAAAGTCCTCCACCCCCTGCAAACATGCAGATACTACTGTAAACAGGCATCGGGTGCGTCTGATTACAAAAATGACAATTGCCCTGCACATGTTGGGTATTGCTGCGTGCGCCGCAATAGTTCTAAGGCCAATATTTATGGTTGACTCTAAACGGATGATCTGTAGAGTTTTCAATAATCGATTATAATCGATTATGTCGATTAGTTGTTGCAGCCCTATTTTAAAGCATCCCCTATGGACGATTTGTGGTACCGTATTTTGTCACCATTTCACGGGCGCACACAATTTTTAAGCTTGGCATGTTGGGTATCTATTCACTCAGCACAACCTCATCTTTTATGAAGAAATGGGTTTATATTGTATTTTTGTGCACTAACATTAGCTTAAAGTGACATTAAAGGAGAACTATGAGGTGGGTGCTTTTCACTCACCTCATAGTTCTAGCCGACCTGTGACAATGAGACTGTCACAGGTCGGCTCAGTAGATCGGGAGGTGACCGGACACATACCGGCGTTCGCTCACCTCTCGATCCTGTCACGGCTCTCTGCCGTGACAGGGGAGGGGCTGGATTCCCCCCTCCCCGCTCCGATCCGCCAGCGCTGACTGGCGGAACGGACGGGGAGGGGGGCGGGTACAGCTGGCTCTGCCTCTAGATAGGCAGAGCCAGCTGTCACTCACGCAGCTGGGCGGATCCCGACATCGATGTCGGGATCCGCTCCGGCTGCGGCGTCTCAGTATACCGCGAGCAGCAGCTCGCGGTATACTGAGCCTAGAGTGACGTGAGGACGCTAGTTTGTGTCCTCCCGTTACCCTAGGGAGAACTATGGGGGAAAGACTTAACACCATAGTTCTCCTTTAAAGTCAAAGATTTTTTTCCTCCCCCAATGTTAATTAAATCACTTACCTTAAATGATGTTTCTTAATCCGACCTTCTTCTTTCCTGTCCTTTTCATCTGTCCCTCCAGCGGTACGGCGGCTCTCCGATCCAGCGCTGACTCCTCTGTCCTTGCTGGCACTTCCTGTCCCACAGTGTCTGCATGCGGGTGCACGCTGTCCATAGACTTACTCTCCCCTAAACCTTATATATATCTTTTGAAAGCAGAGACCCTATAGAATAAAATGGTGGCAGTTGCCTGGCAGGGGAGAAGGCTTGATCTTACTCTGCTGCAGTTTAGTTACCCCTACAGGTCTTGTCCTTCTGGGTTAGACAGTGAAAGTAGAAGCATCAAACTAATAAGCTAATTTCTTTGTCACCCTTCTCTCTCCTCCTATCAGTATGTTACTTGCCCTACAGCATAGATATGCATGCACCTTCAGACCTCAGATCATCCCCAATTCCTGCACCTTCACACCTCAGATCAGACCCAATTCCTGCACCTTCACCCCTCAGACCAGCCCCAATTCCTGCACACCTCAGATCCGATCCAATTCCTGCACCTTCACACCTCAGATCCGACCCAATTCCTGCACCTTCACACCTCAGATCAGCCCCAATTCCTGCCCCTTCATACCTCAGATCAGCCCCAATTCCTGCACCTTCACACCTCAGTTCAGCCCCAATTCCTGCACCTTCACACCTCAGGACAGCCCCAATTCCTGCACCTTCACACCTCAGGACAGCCCCAATTCCTGCACCTTCACACCTTACATCAGCCCCAATTCCTGCCCCTTCATACCTCAGATCACCCCAATTCCTTCACCTTCACACCTTACATCAGCCCCAATTCCCAATTCCTGCACCTTCACCACTCAGATCACCCCAATTCCTGCACCTTCACCCCTCAGATCACCCCAATTCCTGCACCTCCACACCTCAGATCAGACCCAATTCCTGCACCTTCACACCTCAGATCACCCCAATTCCTGCACCTTCACACCTCAGATCAGACCCAATTCCTTCACCTTCACACCTCAGATCAGACCCAATTTCTGCACCTTCACAGCTCAGATCACCCCAATTCCTTCACCTTCACACCTCAGATCAGACCCAATTTCTGCACCTTTACAGCTCAGATCAGCCCCAATTCCTGCACCTTCACACATCAGATCAGCCCCAATTCCTGCACCTTCACACCTCAGATCAGCCCCAATTCCTGCACCTTCACACCTCAGATCAGACCCAATTCCTGCACCTTCACACATCAGATCAGACCCAATTCCTGCACCTTCACACCTCAGATCAGCCCCAATTCCTGCACCTTCA